CATATATAGATCCTATAGGTAAACTCGTTAGCCTAGACGACAATGCTGGTCATGATGGAGGAGTCGACATACTTAAAATCTTTCACTGCCGTGGTTTGTTGTTATGCGTTACCAAAGACAGAACTAGTCTTGTTGTTTGGAACCCTTTTAATGGACAAACAAGGTGGATCAAACCTAGAGATTCTTACCATAGCTGTGACAGGTACGCTCTCGGATACGAGAATACCACCAAGTACTTGCAACGTAGACACAAAGTGTTGAGATTTGTGGATGATTACGACCATAGGTTAAAGCGCCGAGTATGTGAGTTTGAAATCTTTAGTTTAAACTCTACTTCTTGGAAGGTTGTTGATTTCAATCCAGACTGGGATGTACAGTGTTTTTACCGTGGCTTGTCTCTCAAGGGTAATACTTACTGGTTTGCTGAAGAGAAGCTTGTTGGCAAAATAGGAAGACTTTTTTTACTCTGTTTCGATTTTACAACAGAGAGATTTGGACCGCGTCTGCGTCTGCCTTTTCGTGGTCGTTATGGAGATACAGTGTCTCTGTCTAGCGTTAGAGAAGAGCAGCTTGTTGTCTTGTTTCAGGATTCTGATGCACCTGCGTACACCTTGAAGATTTGGATTAGTAGAAAGGTTGGTCCTAATGCAGTGTCGTGGAACAAGGAGGTGTTCTTATCGGTTGATATGAAACCGTTAACAGGTTTTCAGTTTTTGAACTATGCTGGAAGTTTCTTTGTTGATGAGAAGAAGAAGGTCGTTGTGGTTATTGATATGACTAGAGGTTATCCTATGACTATTCGTAATATGGCTTACGTTATTGGCGAAAATGGATACTTCAAAACAGTGGATCTTGGAGATTTTGCAAACAGAAATTGCTGGCCACTTGTGTGCTCTTATGTTCCAAGCTCGGTGAAAATCAAGCAAGCTGATGCACCAACAGGCAACCAGAGGAACACACCATCTTAAATCTTATTAACTTGTTATTGTCCTGTTTACTTCATTGCTAGAGTGTTCTTGTCGGTCTTTCATTTACTAGCTTATAACAAATGTAAGAAGTTTCAAATCGTTATCATTGACCTTGGAGCTTCTCTTTTTGTTTTTGTTTCTTTTAAATTTCTGAGGTTGTGAATTATTTCATATGCTAGATTTTGATAACTCTCCTATTTAAAGTTACGGATAATCACAATTTACAGGTAAAGAAACAGTTGAATGATAGAGAAAGAGCATTGGTTACCAAGGAGAAAGATCTTGATGCAAGACTGCAAGTTCATCAGGAAGAGTGGAACAAGGAATTAATGAACAAAGGCACAAGAGTTACAATCCTTATTGATCAACCAGTTGAATTCTGCAAAAGAAGTAGTGACAGGGTTAGGCCGAGAGCTAAGCAGCGAGAAGAAACTATCTGAGGAGCTTAGAGCTCTGATAGTAAGTCTGCAAAGTAGTGTTTCAAAGGTTGGTGAAGAACAAATGGCACTTGAAACAGAGCTCAGAGAATTTGATTTGATTGAAGGGATGCAAGATCGTATCAGCTTGGTTAGTTTGGAGCTGAAAGATAAAAAAAGAAGTTAAACGTATTAGCACATCACTAGCTGAAAAAGAAGCAGAACTGAAGAAACTCTAACGCTGCTTACACTCAAACTAGCCGAGATCTTGCTGCTTCAATATTAGAAATGATGCAGGTTAAGAAAGAAGTCACAAGAACTCAGACGAACTGGACTCAAAGAGTTTTACCGTTAATGAATTAAACGCTAGAATAAACAATTTAGAGGCTGAGAAAAAGAGTTACATCCAAAAGCTTGATGTTGTTTCAAAATATTACAGTTATTTGCAGTTGACTTCTGAAACGCGAGAAGCTGCTGATGCGGAGGTCATTAGAATGAAAGAGGAGGAGATTCAGAAGCTAAAAGAAAAGCTGGATCATGCGTTAAAGGATGTAAATGAGAGTAAAGACAAAGTTGATGACCTTACTGAGAAGTACATACGAAGACTCGAAGAGAATGCTGGATATAGAACTCACTGATGTACATAACTTGAAACATGAATTTGAAGGAACAAGGATAACACTGCAGGCGTCGAGAGATAGTGTCTCTGACCTGGATCAGCTGCTTGATGAGTCGAGAGCTTTGTGTTCAAAGTTTGAATCAGAGGTTTCTGTAATTTGGGAAGAGTTTAATGAAGCTAAAGGAAGATATGAAGAGCAACTTGCAGAAGAAAGACGAAACAATGAGGTTTTGGCTAGAGAACTTGAAGAGGAGAAAGATCTTCTGAAGAAACCTAGAGACGAGCTTGAGAGATTGAGTCACGAACTTGAAGAGTCTTCTGTCAAGAACCGGAGCCTCCAGGAGGAACTAGTTGAGATTTACAAGAAAGCTGAAATCACTAGCAAGGAACAGGAAGAGGAGAGAAAGACAGTTTTGGCATTGGAGAAAGAGGTGAAAACAATATAGCTTTGTGATAAGCCTAACAAAACAGAGGGAAGTGCTAGAAAAGAAAGTGAAGAAGCTTGAGGAGGACTTGTGCTATGCAAAGGGAGAGATACTACGCATGTGGAGCCAACCAAAGTCTCTAAAAGATGTGAATAGTACAGACGACAAAGAGAAGAGTGGTGATAAGGTAACTGCAAAGAAATTTATCAGGAGGAGAAAGAGCAGAACTAGTTCTTGAAGAGACAAAGGTTACTATGACTAGAGATTCATCAATGATTATAGGAAATATAGAGTAAGGCTTTGTATCATGTCTAAATTATGATTCTCATATAGATATGTTAAAGATGAAAACTACATTTATTATTATCATACAATTTAAAACCGAAACAGCTAGCACCAAAAATTGTTTCTCAAGAGGCTGCCTTGTCTTGTCTTCAGAAACAACCATCCATTAGAAAGTTCAAAGTCTCTCTCAAATTCATAAGAGACTGTTTTATTTCATATCTGGCCATGAGCTTTCCATGTTGATGAGAGATCAGCCACAGCTTCACCAACTGTTAGATAAAGTCCACTCAGCCCCAATGACTCAATGATCTTGGACTTGTGTAGCTTCTCCATTACACTCCCCACAGGATTCACCAACACAAGCTAATTTCAACAAGTGAAAACATAAAATTTAGCATGTTTAATACTCTCATAGGTAATGATCTTTTTAGAGTTAGAGGTTCTAACCTGAAGTGATTGCTTCTCCAGCCTCCTCCTAAGTTCAAACACAGCTTCAATCCCACTTGTGTCTATAGAAGACACAGCTAAAACAATTCCAAAAAAAAAAAACATAAGTAAAGAAGATGAGTCTAAAAACTCATGAACATGGCTCAGATGAGAACAGAAGTAGTTACCTGTCATGTCAAGAATGATGCATTTTAAAGTACTACCACTGTTTTCTTTTATCCGAGTTTCCTCTTCTCTGGTCCATCTCAAGATCCTACAGAACCATAAACTCACTTCCGTAAGAACAAACACACACAACCATATGAAGAAGAAAGTTATTTGACGCTGACCTTTCTTGTAGATAAGTGCTATTGGCAAAGTATATTGGAGATTCAACAGCAAGAATCAAGAAACCAGGGATTCTTGAAGCTTCTCTGTATCTTTTAACACTCTGATATATCTGAGTCCCTTGGATATTTCCAAATTCTACAGTGTTTGGCCTTGTAACATGCAACAAGATCTTGAGAACTGAAACTCCCACCTGCAACAAAAAAAAGGTAACAAAACTTAGATAACAAACATCTTTAGAATTAGTAAAACAGAACCATGAAGAATATTATAGTTGTATACTCACTGCTATTGCTAGGCCAAGAGGTACAGAGACGAGGAGAACACCAAAGAAAGAACACATGCAAGTGAAGAAATCGAATTTGTCAACTTTCCATAGCTTGTAAGCTGCTTGGTAATCAATGAGGCCTATCACCGCGGTCAAGATGATAGCAGCAAGGATCAAGTTAGGAGTGTAGTAGAAGAGTGGCATCAGAAACAAAAGGGTCACAAGAACTGCTGAGGCCATCACAATGTTGGAAACTGCTGTTTTGGCTCCAGCATTGTAGTTTACAGCAGATCTAGAGAAAGACCCTGAAGAGACACAATAAAATTTCTGTTGTCAAAAAACATTTTCCCCTGAGATTTAAGGTGAATGAGATTGGATTCAAGTTAATTTTTTAACCTGTTGTGACATAGCAAGAAGTGCAAGAACCAGCCATGTTCATAAAACCTATAGCCACCATCTCTTTGTTCCCATTAACTTGATAATTCTTTAGAGATGCAAAGGTTCTTCCTACAGCAATCCCTTCCTGAAAAAAATCAATCAAGTCCAAAATTTTAGCACTTAACTTTACAGTTTATAAAAGGAGCTAAGGAGTCTGGAAAGCTTACTGTAAGAGAGAGAATCCCTGTGATGATACCAGTCTTGATGGCAAGAGCAAGATGAGTGCCACTAAAGTACAACATGTTTGATGAAGGTGGATTCAAACCCTTTGGGAGATGTCCAATCTGCATCAAAGATTGAATTATTTGAGTTCTCTCAGTTCAGTTTAGATTATAACACAAGTAAGTTTGGTTAAGATGTCTTACAAATGAGATGGCATGAGTCTTGTTTCTGATGAGGAATACAAGAAGAGTTGAGATAACAACTGATACTAAAGGTGATGCAGCTGATATCCAGAAAAGTTTTGGCTTCCTCATGCTCTATATATTCACAAAAAAAAAACATTAAATGTTAAAATATGTGATCATGGTAAAATATCTATTTGAAAATGCCTGAGGTTTTGGCAAGTACTTACAATGTGTCTTGTGGTTAAGAGAATGGCCAAGAAGCCAAGACCCATCAGAATTGTTTCCCATGACCACTGAAAATTGTAGCGAGTAACACTATTAGATAACGATCTATATATGGTTGATTTACAATTTTATAAATAGGAAAGTAATGTTTGTCTTACTTCAGATCTGTGGCTGAAAACAGAAGACATGACAGGTATGAATTGCATTTTGCCAGTGAAATGAACAATTCCAAGAAGACCCTTAAGCTGTTGAAGTGACACAATCACTGCAGCACCAGCAGTGAAGCCAATCAAAGTTGCTTTTGACAAAAAGTCAATCACAAATCCCAGCCTGAAAAATTACAAAAAAAAAGATTATTAAATAATATGAAAATATAATATATTAATCCAAATTCGCTGACCGTTAAAATAAAATAAAACAGTGTAACACCACTAGAAGGAAGCATCTTGGGAGGTAGACTTTGGTACATGTCACTTATCACTATCAAATCATATTATATATAGAATCTTGGTCTTTTTCACATATAAAATGTTAATAATCTCTCTATTCATCATGACTAATGTCCCTTTCGTTTTCAATGATAGTTCAACAAAAGAGGCTCAAGTAACACTCTGAATATATTCTACACTAAGAATATTAAACTGCAACAAGAGGCTAAAACTACATATTCTTTCACATGACGATCCCATATTCCAAAGATTAGTTGCGTTTTCGATTAAAAAGAATATTAAACATTTGAGAGTAAGATTATTACCTAAGAAGGCCAAGGGATGCTTGGAAGAGACCAGCAAAAAAGGTTGATGTGAAAGCCAGCTTGAGATATAGAATTGAGTCTTGTGTGGGAGAAACACTTTCACTTAGCATTGAGCCCATAACAAGTGATGCTATTGAGACAGGACCAACTGCAAGATGCTTTGAACTCCCAAGAACTGAGTATATAAGTGGTGGCACAAAGCTTGAATCTGCATGCAACCACCAAACTGATTAGTTAAATCCTGGTTTAGTAATTACACTGATTAGTCATATTTGGTCATGATAGCTGATACTTACATAGACCAACTATGGGTGGTAAGTTTGCTAGCTTGGCATAACTTATTCCCTGCAATTTAAATTTCACGATTAGCAAACAAAGCTTGTAAGAAAAAAAAAACAAAAAAAAAAACAAAGCTTGTAAGAAAAAACAATGATTAAAATAGCGTTTGGGATTTAGCACCCAATAACGTTTTTGGATAATTCTAAGCAATCCAGTATGAAATTAACGAATTAAAATAAATTTAAATAATTGTAAAGATAAATTGGATAATTAAATATAAATTTATTGAAACATTGAATGACATTAAATAGACCAAAACAAAAACAAAGAAACAGAGTTTTCGTTTGCTTTAAACTCTCCGAGTCCAACTAGTTATCCTCATACTACTACACGATTTAACAACAAAATCTCTTCAGTTACACCTTTTATTACCCTATCAACATATAAATAAATAAATAAAATCTTCTTTTGGTCAAATGACAAAGAATATGATAACATATTAGAAGAATTGCAAAACTATTTCTAAAACACAAAAAAACATTTCCATAATTTTTCTTTAAGAATGGTGAAATCAGTTTCTATATAATCACATCAAAACCAGATAAAACAAAAAAAATCATATTCCTAACAAAAAAAAAGATTTTAAAAGTTGCGTTACCTGAGGAATGGCGAGACTAGCAATGGTGAGACCAGAGACAACATCAGACCTAAGAAGCTTGAGATCATACTGAGAACCCCATGTGAATATAGGAAACAAGCTTTGAAGGCCAAGAATCACTTTGTTTCTCCATGTCTGGTTCCTAAACCTCTCTAACGGATCATCAGGGAAGAAAACATCACCAAAACGCTTCTTCAGTTTCTGAAACGTTGTTTTCTTCGGTGGAAGACAAACGCTATGTATCTCCACGATCGTTTCTCTCGCGTTTGCCGTTACAGGTGCAGTGTTTCCGTTGTTGGGAGACGCCATGTCTTCTACTCTATTCGTACCATGACCCATTGGTTTACGAGAAGTAATGAAGGGTTCTTGGAAAGATAAGAGGGTGTAGAACTTATTTTTTTCTTGTGGTTAATGTATTGTGGATTGTGTTTGTAGGATTTTTTTGTGAGGAAAGATGGTGGGATTGTGCTCTGAATTTATAGACACTTGGCCCTGAAAGTGTAGTTGGTATTATGGGTAAATGTCAAGGAAAAAGTAGTTCCTCTTTAGTGTTTTGAGTTTCTAGGGGTAAATGCGTCATTTTATGTACATAAAGTGAAATAAAATCTTGGAGGAAATCATAGTCTCTGTAGAACAACATGGCATTGGCATATGATGATATTTCTTTTTGTAACTGAGGCATATGATGATATGAACAAGAGAGAATATGATGAAGACCGAAGAACAGAGGAATCAGTGAGATATTAGATTTTCATATATAACGTTAATCATATAAAAACATGGATTGTTTTCAGTCTTACCAAGACTCCAAGAGAGATCGATGACAGAAAAAAACGAATCTTCTACACTTTTGATTCAAACGAAGTTCACCATTTGTAAAATTCTTCACTGAGTATTTCTTTCATATTTTGAGGTGTTTTATTTGATAATAATGTTATAATATATAGGGAAAATTCCATATAAATACTCCAACTAAATTTTATTAAGCTTTTTAATACTCAAACTTTTTCGCTACCCAGTTTAATACCCCAACTAATTATTTTGTCCATTTTAATGCATAAACTTTTATAAATGTGCCCATTTTAATACCCAAACTTTTTTTATTTTAATTAACAATACGAATAAGTTTTCAATAAATTTTTTAAAATTTCTAAACTTTACAAAAAAATTGATTTTATTATATGTTAGAGAAATGAAATTAAATAAAAATTTTATAATATTAAGTTTTGTAATAAGTTTTTTAAGTTTTATATATTGAATTTAGTTTGTTTTCTGAAATAAAAAAGTAAATTATTATTTTTTCCTTCAAAATTATTTTTTTAAACATTTAAATTTTCTCCAGAGTTTATTTACCTTCTTTCTTAAATCTTAGAGTGAACTTAGAAATTTTGGATATTTTTTCTTAGATTTGGATATTTTTTAAAATTTTGTTTGAAACTTATTAGTATTGTTAATTAAAATAAACAAAGTTTGGGTATTAAAATGGGCACAATTATAAAAGTTTGTATATTAAAGTGGGCAAAATTATTAGTTGAGGTATTAAATTGGGTAGTGAAAAAGTTTGGGTATTAAAAAGCTTAATAAAATTTAGTTGGAGTATTTATATGGAATTTTCCCTAATATATATATTATTGACATTGATAATAGTAATAATCTTATACTCTTGTCATATTTCAAAAACATTCCTTATTTTTAAACAATATAGGAGTATTTCCAAATTTATCATATACCTTTAGATTTTTCAGCTTAATCAAAAGCGCTTTTTCTTGTAGTAAGTACATATGTGTATGATGTCAACTTCTTTTGTAAAAAAGTTTTTGGCAAGTGTATGTATGCATGTCAAGTAAACACAGTAATCTATGGCAGTAAATGTATGCGTATTTTGGTCAGCTTATGTTTGTACATGCATACTCCTCGTTTTCAGCATTTTAGTATTTGATATTTTTTATGAAAAAAGGGAATTACATAACAGAATTTCTAAAGGGTTCTTATTTTATATTTCTCCATTGTATAAAAGAAAAGCTCTGTTTAAAAATTCTTTATTTAGAAAAAGAAAAACGTATCAAAGTGTCTTTTACAAAATTCAGTTTCAAGTTAAAAATGGAAGTGTCGAAGTGGATAAATTCTGAACGTTGATTTATTTTGGGTGACGAGGACAGTTGAATTTGGGAAGACTGGTGGGGCATCCACTTTTAATGGCTCCAATTAAAGTCTCAAAGGAAAATAAAAACTTTTTGTGGTTAATAAATCAAACGTTACAAATGGTTACAAAGATTCCAAGTTGATTCAAAATTTATTTTATACCAGTTAAAGTATGTGTTCGACACCTGTAATTGTTGTTATAGGCGCACCTAATTTATTCTTATCTTCATTAACAAAATCAGTTATCTAAGGATAAATGGGTTCTATATATCTTTAAATAATACATATCAATACAAACTCTTATGGGATTTTATATTTACCAAGAAAAATCTAATGTTTTGGTGTTTAGCAATTCTTGAATTGGTCACTATCTATGTCTCTCTATCGATCATGATACTTAAGCAACCACTGAACAAAGCATTAACAATGGTGAACATTAATTACTTCTTAATGACCAGTAGGGCTGGAATTTATATCCGTCATCCAATCTGGGATCCGCTCCGATCCGCTCCGAAAAAATGGATAACCGAGAGATTCGGATCCGGATCCATATAGTGATTTCATGGATCCGGCGAATTTAGATCCGAATCCGAATAGCGAAATTTTCAATCCGGATATCCGGATCCGAGCCCACTAAATATTTTAAAATATTTAAATATAATTATATTTATATAGGTATATTATATATTTTTATTAAATATAATTAATACTTAATCTTGTTAGTAAATACTATTATTTTAATTTAACTTTTTGTAAAAGAATATTTTTAATAAAAGAAATAAATTTCAAATTTTTTAAAATTTTTTTTTTTTTAAATAAATCGGATCCAGATATCCGCGGATATCCGAGTTTTAGTCCGGATATCCGGATCCCGAATATCCGGATGGTCCGGATCCAGATCCAGATAGTAATTATATGGATCCGCCGAATCCGGATATCTTAAAATATCCCGGATATCCGATCCGTCCCACCCCTAATGACGAGGACTTTCCTGGTAATGCTCCTCGTTTACTAATCAAACGTGTCGGTTAAACAAAAAGGCAAAAACACAGGTGTATAAATAGATTAGTAGAGAACACCTGATTAGAACTTTTGATAGATGGTTTACGATTCACATCTCTCTTTTTCTCTGTTTTGGTAACACATAAGTTGTGATTTTTGTTTGTTTGTTAATGTTTCGAGAATGTATCGAAATTTCATTATAAAAGTAATAGTCTGAAAATTTGACCCGATCAAATAATGGCTGGGTTGCCCTTTTTCACCTATATTACTTTCTACTCAACATTGATCGCAACGTTTTCGTATATCAATCATTCCATTTAAAAAGCTTATGAGGAATTAGGTTTTAATAACTTTGCTAGGTAACTTTCGTTCATGTTTTGTCTTCTTAATGCACTGGGTCATTTCAGTGTATCCCGTCGTCTATGCAATAAAATCTCAAATAAATCAAACGACTTTTTCGGAACAATTAGGACGAAAGTAAAACCGTGAATAATTTTTTTAGATGATACTATTAAACAAGGTTGTTTAACAAGGATTAATCGGAAATATAAAAGGAATATACTAAAATGATTAAACGATATAGAAAATGAAAATATCGTGTTGTGACAACTTTTTATCGTTTTCAAATTAGTAACAACTAAAGCAATAAACCTCGTACTACTTCTGCAACTTGGAGTTATAAAAAAAAAAAAAAACTTGGAGTTATCAAACAAACCCAATAATACTTGAATAATAGTTATATTTATTTCAGGACAACAAAATACAACTTGTATGAGCTAATCTTTAAGATAAATAAAAGGAAAATTAGGCCAAGTATATAAAATAAAATGATACTAATTCACTGACTACCAAAAATCACTCATTTTCTCGTACTTTCTCTTTCTAGGAGAAAGACATGGCAAAATGAGTCTCCACCTACTCTTTTGGCAAAATTGATTGATAAAACTGTGAGAAATAAGTTCTTTATCTTTCAAAATAAAAAGGATAAGGAACTCAGAGGAAAGGTTGAGGTATTTGGTTTGGAGCTAAGCAAAGCTAAAATGGAGGTTGAAGTATTAAGATGTAGAAGAGAGCAGATTAAGTCTTTGAGAATGTTTTGTATAGAAAAATAAAGAAGGAAGCAGACTGATGATGTAAAAGGATTTTCTTGAATTAATTTAATAATCAATTAAAAAAAATCTTTAAGATAAAACCAAGCCACTATACCTTGGTAGTAATAATTTGGAGATTGATGTGTATCTATGTTGGTCGTAGGTAGTTTCTGCTGGAAATTACATTATCATTGTTCGATTAATTTAGGTTTGAAATGGTGGATCGTAACAGACGATTGACCTATGTTTAACACTAATCGAAACTGTATTCAAATTCGACTCATGTAGTGTGATATACTTTTGAGCTAAACTATTTTATAGTTGCATCTAGGTCTGGGTGTTCGGTGGCCCATTCGGTTTCGGTTCGGGTTATTTGGATTTTCGGATTTTCGGTGTTATACTCACAAGTACCATTTGGTTTTTACTAATTATCGAATCGGATTCGGTTCGGTTCATTCCGGGTTCGGTTCGAATCGGATCTAACCAATTTTTAAAATCGTCCAAAAATATATTTTTTAAAACCTCGATAATTGACAAAAAAAAAGTTTCAAAAATATAAATTATTTGCAAATCTAATAGAAAATTAGTTAAACTGTCTAAATTAACTAAAAAGTATTCAAAATAACAAATAAAATAAACTACAAAAATATTTTGAATACTTTAAAATATCTAAATCACCTTAACAAATATAAAAACATTAACATATTTAACTAATTTTGGATATCTTCGGATTCTAATTCGGATTTCGGTTCGGTTCGGAGTATAACCATAGTCCAAAGTACTAAGCTCATAAGTCCCGTTCGGATATTTTTGTAAAACAGTTCGGATTCGGTTTCGGTTTTTCTGGTTCGGGTTAAGGTCGGTATTTTGGGTTGAGTTAAAAACGCCCAGGCCTAGCTGTATCCATGTTTATCAAAGGTGGCGACTGGATAAGGAAACCTGATTTCGTAATGTGTGGAAACGGGTTCGAGATCATGCATATTTTACAGAACCTTTTACTGCTACAATAATACTATTTTGCGGATACAAGTTAAAAACTAATCATGTAAATATCGGTCCAGAAAACTAATTTTATGAGTCAAGAATAAGAAATTCAAAGCAAAT